AAAAGCTTTGATTTATTATTTATTATTTGATTAATTTGCTTAATTAGATTTATGGTTGTCTACCTAAAAATAGGGGTGTTCTTGCAATTCAACTGTTGTCACTTTTGACAAAATAAATAGGGTCTTTTCGAGAATAGGTTCATTCAGCAAAAACTTTAATTAATTTAATATAATTTATTTTCATGGTTGTAGCAACAAGTTTTTATATATATTTTTCCCATGACAGAAGAGTTTGTCCAGACAACCTTGATTTAAAGAGACCATAAGTAGAATATAAGATTATATATCAAGTTTAAAATTAATTCAAAATTTTAAAAAATAGCCTAACAAACAAGAACCTGTGCCACAAGTTCAATTTTTTTAAATTTGATTTTTTGAGATATCAGAAATTGGCTAATAAAAATGTATAGATTTCAGCATTAAACTAATCATACCTATGGACCACCCCCAGAGTGAAGTATCTTTGAAATAGAGGATTATGCATATTATGCAAATTGAAGTACATGCTATATTTTACTGTTACATTCTCACTTTCAAAAATCATTGTGTTTTAGGTAGTGCATACTTGATGAAAAAGTCTTATCCTACAGAATACTGAAATCAATTCAGGAGGTTTGTAAAATAAAGTGGCCCAGTCTGTTTTGTGCAAAGTAAATCACAATTCTTGAAGAAATAAATGCCATTCAGATACATGTTCATCTTGAATAAAACAACCCACAAAATAATTTTTAAATTCCATTCCCAAAAACTCAAATAATCACAAAGACATTATGATAAATCCATACAGAACCACAAACAAGCCATGCAATCTCTATCCAACCAGTTTAATTAAAAAAAAACAAAAAAAAAACGCTCCACTCTTTGCAATGAAGTCAATGAACCTGCAACTTGATAGTGAGGTCAACCACAAAGTCAAATTATGAAGCGAGTCAGGTGAACTCTGCAATTAATTTTAGTAGTCATGCTCATACAACAGAAGTGTGATTCCACAAAATGTCAAGTGTCAAGATGTTGCTTGGCAAATGAAGTACAAGCAGCCTATCGGCTGAGATAGCTCCGCTGTTAGCAATGCACATTTCAATTAAAGAAGAGAAGATATTATTAGAAAATGAACAATACGTATAGTATCAAGCAATGGGACTTGCTGTTTTCAACAAGAATTCAAAAATATCACTTTTTACCAAAAATTACAAAAATATTCATCAAAATTAGAGAATTAAAGATATCATTACAAAATGAACAAATCTAAGAGAGGTCTACATGTAGTACCTATATATGTAATATCAAAGCAATTGGACTTGCGGTTTTTAAGAAGTGGAAAATATCACTTTTTACCAAAAATTACAAAAATATTCACCAAAATTAGAGAATTAAAGATATCATCATGAAATGAACAAATCTGAGAGAGGTCTACCCAAGGTATATATACACCAAGTATCAAAGCATTCAGGCTTGTAGTTTTCAAGAAGAAGTCGAAAAAGTAAAACATTGACACGGACGACGACGGACAATCACTCTATGATAAGCTCCGCTCGACTTTGTCGACAACGGAGCTAAAAAGATATTATCTGCACTAGTTACCAATTTTTTAATCATGTATTAGTGAGCCAAATTGACCTGTGTGATATGAAATGATAGCACACAAGGTCACATTGCTTAAACTTGTACTACTGTATTTACTTTATTAGTCGCGCACATGCTTACATAAAAAACAAAGGCATGTGTCATATTTTTACGATCCAACATCAATGACAATTACTACGTTCACGTTACGGGATCTCGGCACGTGCCAAAATGTTAAATCCTTTGCGTTTGCAAAGGGATTACAGCAGTTGCGTTCACGTTAGTCTGGACCCACTTAGGACCGACTCGGCTCGTGCTGAAATCACGCCCTCAATTCATCGATCTGTTATTTGACCCAAACATGGAAAACGATACGCAGCTGACTATAATAATAATTGCTATATTGAAATTATATCCATTTGTTGTTATGGTATTTATTACGAGTCATCATGCACATGAACGGCAAAGGAGATTCGAAAAACAATTATTCTTCAATCAATGTAGCATTGCAAGAATATAGCGGTTGCAGCAGCACATAAATATGCATACAGCATCCGACTATATATATCTGCATTTTTCGTCATTGTCGATGAATCAGCATTTATTCTCTTAAATTTACCACTGAGGGCGTGATTTTGGCTCAGTTTCGATCCCAAGCATCTATCGGTGCCGAGATTTCTAATGTGAATGCCACTAATTTTTGGCATACGTGGTTAAGTTTTATTGGAGAAGTGCTTCTATTGGAAACGTGAATTTTTGGCCACCATTTATAATATAAAACATATCTGTGGCTGAAAGTTTCATGGCCGAAAAGTCTAGGGTGGTAAATGGCTGAAACTTTTGCCCGACACTTCCAATAGAGCAAATACGCTGATCATAACATGCATGTAAATGAAATTAAGTTCAGCTCAGCATTATATAGAATGCAAAAAAAAAAAAGAAAAGACTAATGGCAAACACCACAGAGTACCTCTAAAGTCTCAGCCAGCAAGGACATATAAAATGAAGGAAAGCAATTATAAAATATTGATAGTCACCCACCAAGTAAAACTCATGATTATAAAACAGCAATATTAATATTGAAAGTGGTGTGGTGTGATGTGAATTCATGCTTGTCTGTAGACTAGACAGACTACAGTAAAAGCATGCAATTGCAGAGTATGTGGATTTAGACTAGATGAATATTCCTTTCAATTATACTTAATGCATTGTGAATATCTGTAAGACCAAAAATGATTCATACAAACACAAACAAGATAGATGCCAGGGGCAAAGCACAAAGCTATTTTAGGAATCATTCATAACCAACTCAGTGACCTTAATGCACTAAAATATTGCAAGGAATAATTAGAATTTCAGTCATTCCTATCTGCATAAATGTGCAGTGGTTACACTTAAGCAAAACATCATTGAACGTCACAAGTCATTGCATCATGTGTGTAACTGTAAATGACCTGGCCTAGATGTGGCTTTGAGTGAGTTACCAAAAATGACAAGTGTCAACACTCTAGATAAACCTTTGCAGTGGCAGTGAAGTTGTCACTTGACAATTCTAATAAACATGAACTACATGATCAAGAGCAAAATTACTGGTAAAAAAAAAAAAGAAACCAACAATAGAAAAACAATTACCTTGTTTACATGACAGCATTTTATCTGAGCCCAACAGCTTAAGCCAGCAAAAATGACTGTATAAACTAGCTAGCTCAGCTCAAGCAGAGTTCAGCTCCAACAAACCCTTAGGGTTGAACTGTGATAGGACTGTGCCCTGACAATGGCCCGACCATCTAAACAGAAGCCCCAGCCAAGGACGCTGTTCCAATTGGTGGAAAGAGCAATAGTTTGACTCCAATAAAATGCTGCCATAAAATTT